ATGTGGATAAGGAACTCTCAAAATGTTCTATTACTCCCTTATACTTTTAAGATTCCTGTTCCTCGCGGGCGTTCTTTACCCTTTGAAGAGACCCTTGTAGAACAAAGTATCATCCGACCTCCTTTTAACTTAAGGCACTAAGGATAAAGTCTTTCCGTTACAAATACAAAACCCTTTTGAAAACCAAGACGTACATATTATGCATTTCGATACATTCACTTGCCACAAAAAAAATCCGTGGGGGCCACCCTGTATAATTATTAATGAAAGTAGGTCTTTGAGAAAATCCAGTTTGGAAGATGAAACGTATTTTAATTACATTGTAGACGAAGTGTGTTTTTATTGCTAAGTGCAACTCATTATCTAAAGAGAATGTAAAGCATGTCGTTTTTAGACGATTTTAGAGGAAAATACGTTATGCAGTCAAGAAAGCGGAAAATTGCATAGAAAAATAGGACAGGGATAAGGTGAAAAAAATTAATTGCGCTGAAAAGCACTTAAATACTCTGGAAAGTATTCAAAAAGCTTTCTAACCATTTCCAGAGTTTTAAACGCATACCATACGTTCTTTAAATACATTACGGAGATTATCTGGAGAGTCCTCTAGATCTTTTTCTAGAGATGTGAGATTTTTCCAGACCTAGTGGAACGATAAAAAGGTTTAGGAAGGAACGCTATAGAAGGAGCGTAGTCTCTTCGGAAGGACCATACATCTCAGGATATACTGTATTCAGAAAATAATGTTACTTTTCTCATTAGCGCTGGGGGTGTTCCCAATAGTATTGCGATAAATGGTATTATTGGATTTGCATCTTAAATGTATTGGAAAAACCGGATTTTTAAGGGCGAAAGTCGTATAAAACAATCCTTACGGCTTGTTTAAATGAATAGAACAATAAACACCAATCACCCAGCAGTCAGCAGTTCTCAACAAATTATAAATATTACACCAATTTCGATACGAAGGTATAACGCTTGTCTTTAAATGGTAAAATAACGGTAATTTTACGTTCGTAAAATGCGCTAAAAACTTATACGATATTCAAATGGTACGTAATACATAATATAATGTAATGATATGCAAATATGTACATAATGTGCTAGGGGTATTATCGTTATCACTTTCAATACAATAATCGCTTGTTTACCTCAGAAGTTAATTATATTTAGATTTGTACTTGTACCATAATGACTTCCTAATTATTGTAATCAATATTAATGTTTTATAAGTAAAAGAAAATAAGAAAATATTTGTTAATGTCTTTAGGAAGGGGTTCTATATATATTGCAACTGAATTGTTATACTCACTTAGTTTCCTGTACAACCTGGTCAAAATGGACGCCACTGAGGCCAAACGTAAAATTTAGTTGAACGTGTATGATTATTTTGTAAAAGAAAAAAATCATGGTGGAGTACTTACTTCAGTAATGGCAGTTCAACAAAGAACAGCGGATGCGGTGCAGTATCGAAACAAACAGTTGTGAGGACATGTGCTATGCGAGAGATTGGAAGTGATTTAAAAAGAAATCCATATCGCCGTTCTAAACCACGTAGGACGGACCTACTAGAAAATAAAAAGCATACCATCCGATATCTGATTTATGATATGTACGCAAATAAAGAGCACGTAACTCTAGATACTTTGTTGGCGGTGATAAAATTGAAAGACTTGTGTGATTTGGGCAGAACAAGCTTGTTCTATGCACTGAAAGAAATGGGCTTTAAATTTAAGATGACCAATAGCAGACGGGGTTCGTGTGAACAAAGTCATGTGGTTTCCATGCGGAATGTGTTTTTGCGAAAATACATCAGAAATCTCGAATCCGAAATTCCGCATGATTTCGTTTTTTTAGAAGAAACCTGGGTGTTTAGCAGAGGCGCAACAAAGCGTACTTGGCAAGATGACCGCGCTAAAAGTTTGCAACAACTCATAAGGCTTCAGATGGTAAACGATACATAATTATTCATGCTGGTGGCAGAAATGGGTTTATAGAAGGCAGCAGCTTAATATTTTCGAGTACCAACAAATCGTTCGATTACCACGACAATATGAACGCCGAACTATTTGAAAAATGGTTTGAAGAATCTTTCCTAAAGAAACTTGCTCAGCCCTCAATTATTGTTTTAGACAATGCATCTTATCACACGCGGAAAAGTGAAAAGATTCCAACAGCTTCTTCAACCAAAGAGGAAATTTCGAATTGGTTGAAAATGAAGAATAGACCATTTGGTACTGCGATGTTTAAGGCCAAATTGTTAGAAATTGTAAAAAATCACAGTCAAGCAACCATAACTAAATATGTTGTCGATGAAATGACATTACAATATGGCCACGAGGTTCTGCGTTTGCCGCCTTACCATTGCCATTTCAATCCCATTGAACTGGTATGGGGAATTTCGAAGAAGTTTTACGATGACCATATTGTTGGTACGCCGGGAAGACCAGAAGATGTTCTTAAAACCTGGAACGACGCGTTAGCTAAAGTAACTCCAGACGTGTGGAATCGCTGCGTAACCCATACAGAAGAAATAATCAAGGATTCCTTCAATCGTGAAAAAATTATAGACGATGTAAGGGCTTTGGTTTTTACTGTAAATACAGGAAGTGATGAAGAAAGCGATTATTTAAGTGAAAGTGACAACGACGCGTGAATTCATATGAACTTAATTCATGTCGATTATTATAATAGGTAGCAATTAAGTAAATAATGTACATATTTTCATGTTTATTTGTAACAAATGTTGTAATTTTTAATGTGAACTGCTAAAATACAAGCATGATTTCGTATCGTAACTGGTGTAATATTTATATTCTGTTGAGAACTGCTGACTGGTGGGTGATTGGTGCTTATTGTTCTATTCATTTAAACAAGCCGTAAGGATTGTTTTGAACGACTTTCGTACTTAAAAATCCGGTTTTTCCCAAACATTTAAGATGCAAATCCAATAATACCATTTATCGCAATACTATTGGGAACACCCCCAGCGTTAATGAGAAAAGTAACATTATTTTCTGAATACACTATACCAGAAGTCATTGAATGAGGATTTTAGATGTCTGTAAAGCGCCTGAAAAGCAATGGGAGGCCCATAGGATGTTCTATAGAGGCGCTAAAATGTTCAGGAAAGTACCTACAAAGCACTAGAACCTATATATTGCTTTATATTTTGTAATATTATTGCCATTATATCCTGGAAGACGTTTATAAGACCCATGAATCCATTTAGAAGGTTATCCCTGATCTGGAAAGGTCGTAGAAGGCTCTGGTTAAAAAGACATAGAAAAAGTAGCCAACTTTGGGAAAAGCGCCTTCTAAAATTAGATTTTCATCGGAAAGGGGGACGATGTTAAGGGTTGAAAACAAAAAACCCGATAATTCTAATGTGTTGGATGTCTAATTTACGTAGATTTGGAAATTGGTATTAACAGGCGTTTTAGGAACCTCATTAATATTACAAAACGTCTAATAATGTGTGCAACCTGCGATACAGATGAAGGTTTCAAGGGCTAAGTTCGCGCTCTACGAAGCAATAGGGCAAGTAGTAATACACTTTCATGTCTTTGACAAATAACTGTAGTCGTTCAAAGAGTCGTTTGTAATGGCTCAATCTCACCTTGGAATATGGTAAATTGTGGCGTTCCGCAAGGATCTGTTTTGGGACCGTTACTTTTTACAATCTACACGTCGGTAATTCCAGAAAACTTGCTCCACTGTCAATATCACCTATACGCCGATAAATTATATATAAATATACTATTCGTTTGAACCCAATGATGTAGTGATGGCGTGTGATAGAGTAAATAGAGATTTATCTCACCTTGTTCATATTTCTTCTGTACTATCCCTAAGTCTGAACCCGTCTAAATCCTATCTAATGCTATTTGGAAGACAAAATGACAGAGTAAACGTAATGGAAGATATTTCAATTTATATTCAAAATTCAAAATTGCAACTGGTAGACTGTGTCGAAAACCTTGGTTTACATCTGGACTATTCGTTAAAATTCGACACACATATAAATAAGTGTCTTCAGCGTGCTTTTGCTAACTTAAAGCAAATCTTTGTAAATCGTGCATACCTTACTGTTGACTTAAAGAAATTATTATGCGACTCTTTAGTGCTATCTGTTTTTAATCATTGTGACGTAGTTTACCATCCATACACAAACCATAACAAAAAGAGAATCCAAAAGCTACAGAACTCTTGTTTAAGGTTAATTTACGGTATTCGTAAGTATGATCGTGGAATATCACAAGCACTTGTGGCGACCGAGTGGTTGAATATGAATAATCGCAGATACGTACATTCTGCTTCATTATACTATACGATCTTAAGATCCAAATCGCCTCCATACCTATTCACGAGGTTAAGATTTAGAACTGACGTGCATAATTTAAATCTACGACATAGGGGATTGCTAGATGTCCCTCTCCACAATACTCACTTTTTCGAACGGTAATTTATTTATCAGTTTACTACCCGCTACAATAGATATTTTAATATATTCAAAATTTCTCCTTCGTTATCGTCTTTTAAAAAAAAACATGAAGTGTAGGTTATTAAGTGAGCAATCATATTAGATTTGTAAAAAAAAATTATTTTATTTTATATGTATGTGCATAACGTGTGAATGATACACTAGGTTGAGTGGTAGAGCAACAGTTGTACGTCCAGGTCAACGTGTTGAACTCCGCCTAGATTATTTTCGTTTTAATTTTATTTACATTATATCATTTCGTAATAAAGGCATTATTATTATTATTATTATTATTATTATAGTCGTCAACAAAACGATCATGGTAGGGGAAAGGGCTATTTAAATGGACTGTTGTATCAAAATAAATAAATGATTCCCAAGATTACTTAGTAAAAAGTAACACCGTGCAACTAATTGTTACCTAAAGAGCAGACAATATAATAAATTTATATACAACACATTTTATAATTCAATTATTTATTTTATACAATCATAACGCGTTACCGTAGGTACAAACAAGTTACAATTTATATCAATTTCCTATTTTCTGTGTTTAGGTATTTACAAAAATCTTCTCATGGGTATAAATAAATTCAAACAAATTTATTTGAATAACAACAATATTTCCTCTTGGCACATTATATATATACTTAACAATCATCAGTACAATTGAAGAGCGTTCGGTAAAATGCAAGCAAAATTATCTTAAAGTGAACATAACAAGGGATAGAGTATAACAATAAGAGTCAGATATGTCATAGGTATAATACGAATGCTTTTTTCGAAATTTCGCCGTTTTTTGTTGGTGATATGATTTTTACAAATATTACAACTAAACCCGAACTATCCGGTTTTCATTCGTGATCAATTTAAACAATAAACAACAATTGAAAATGAAACATATTAACTACAATACCTAATTGTATTAACAATTACATATAGATTAATATCACGGTATTCATTTTGCTTCCGTTTAGAATATTTATACAGGGAAAGGCGAACAATAATAGAATTTGTCACAGTCTGTTTATAAAAAAAATGGCCCAACCAAAATTGTATACAAATTCAAACAACAAATTTAACGCAATTGAATTATTTTGATTATTTCCCTCTACCCTTCGGCAGTACTCAAACTGGCGTAGTTCTTCTTAAAGTATCACTATTAAAGTCTTTTCTATTGTTTTCGTGCCGCGAATTAACAGACACCATACTTTGAGCGTGTATAGATAAAGGTTGATCTAAATCGAATGTAACAAATTCGTGTTCGTGGGGAACGCTAGGGGAGTAATCATCGTATTGTTCCGGTAAAAAATCGTCACAATTAATATCCGCCGTCGTCGAAACGGTATTAGTTGTAATGTCGCGAGGAAAAAGCCTCGATGTATCCCTGTTAAAAGTCTTCATTTCTTGAAATTGATAACTAATAGTTGGAGGAGGAGGAAAATCGTAATAACTACTAGGAATGTCTTTTAACGAGTTTGCGTGTGACATATTACGATGCAGACTACATGGAGATTCTTGTATGGGATCCTTGCTGAAGAAGTACCGTCTCTGATGCACTGGCGAAGGAAAGTTTATCGGTACGTGTATCGAACTATTTGAGTTTATGTAAGCTTGCGGATGTCTTCTACACGGATAAAACATCGTATGGTCTATTTGCATGTAATTCATGGACGGCGGAGGTGTTGGTACCTTACCCCTTCTTACATCTTCTAAATATTGCAATCTCCATTCCTGCTGCATTCTATAAATGAATAGGAACACCGCACTGATGCCAGCTAATTGCGTGCTTATAAAACCGCTGACGTACAGCAAAAACGAAAAGCCATAATGGTAGGTGAAGGCGGGCGGCAGTAGCTGCGATCGTGGTCTTAGCTTACTTCCTACTTCTGCTTTGAAAACAGAAATGTACATGATCAGTCCAAGTAACATGATTAAACCTGAAACTGAAACGTTAGTATCACAGTGCTGGGGAAGTTTACTTACCGGAAACTATGAATGCTACTCCCGAAATGAAGATGCACAGCCTGCGGTGTTTTCTGCATTGGCCGAGGATGCAGCAACAGTAACTCAGGAAAAGTAGAAATGAAGCCAGTAGGAAGTAGAAGATTGATTTTGTCACAGCATCTAGAAGAAGAATACCATTACCATCATTAAAAATTCGGTATGCTAATCTGTCAGCATTGTTTTCACCACCACCACCAGATGATTGCTTTTTGTTGCCATATAGATGGTTCAGGTGCTACCCTACCTAACTACTCTACCTAGCAGTACAATAAACTGCCGGAATAATAGGATAGATAAATTGGAATAGCGAAGCAGAATGGAAATTTGACACTGATATAGAGATACATATTGCAATTGGCTTGTTCTGGATGGACAGGTGATATACAGTGTGTCCCCGGATGGACTGAACAAGAGGGAAAAAATTTTTAATTTTAATTTTACGCAAAAATGTCATTCTTTATCAATTTTTTTGCTTGCCTCACAACCACCTATTCTGAAATAAAAATCTAGATATTCCTTTTAGCAGCTGAGAAAATTACAAAAAACGCAAAATCTACAGCGGAAATTTTTTCTAAGTTGCATGTTTTTGATTAAATCAGACTATCATTGTATCTTCCATGACAACCTGATAAGCAAATCAAGTTACTTGTTATCTGTTAATGTTATTCCGTATTATTATATATTTATATATTATTATTAAGTTAAAATTAAAAATTTTTTCCCTCTTGTTCAGTCCATCCGGGGACACACTGTATGTAGTGTGCCAATCGTCGTTTCCACAATGTATGGCTTTCAAAAAAAATTCAAAAGGTACATGGCAGTTGCTAATCTTCCTAATTTTAATTTGCTAACAATATCAACCTATCAACGGCTCTCGTGCTATGTTCTCAAACCATACTAAGGAGCACTGCTGCGTGGAACACAACTAGAGCATAGGATTATTGTCAGTACAATTTTGTGCTTCATTTGTCTTAATTTTTGTCGTGTTTAGACAGACAAATTTTGAGTTCTTGTGGTTTTTGAATTATTTTTGTACACTTGGTGAAAATTGCAAACCTTTTCTTGCCTCACATTTGCTCTATTTGCGCTACCTTTTTCCGAATGGGACAAAATTGACTTTTATATTATAATGCCGTAAAATGCTCGCAACTTGAATTTGTGCATATTTGTTTTTCAAGCATTCACGATTATTTAGTCTTGAAACATCCTCCTTTAGAGGTTGTGGCAGTACCCTTTTAATTCATTGTAGATTGTTTTTCAAGACTCTTAAAAGATTATTCAATCAAACATTTGTCGAGCATTCTACAGAGCATATTCAAGAAGGCTCCTCTAAGTTTTTGCAGATCTTTTTGCATATTTCTACGAATTTTCCTAGGGTATCCATATTTATGTCCACTAGAGAATTTTCGCATTGACAGATTCCTCCCAGGTGTTTCAGAGATCCCTAAAAAACTCTGCAGAGTTCCTTCACTGGCATTTTGAGATTTCTCACGAAACTTTAAAGGGCTTTCTAAATTTGCTAAAAATTTGAAGCAAATACCAAAAACCATACTGGAATTACTGAGGTATTCTTCGGAAGGTACTTAGAAGTGATTGTCTTTAGAATTAATTTTCAGAAATTATTTCAATAATCTCGAGAGGATCTGGGAAGAGAGACTTCGAAAATTTGTTGTAGGTACACCATTTACATATTAAATTATCCACAACTTACTGGATTTACTCACAATTTACCGAATCTCAATATTTTAGTGAATATGTACCAATCATTCACTGGATTTACTAATAATTTACAGAACTTACAAATAATTCACATAAATTCAAAAAGTTTAGTGAATTTGTTTAGGGTTTATACAACTTTCCGAAGGTATACTAACTATTATTTACATTACTAAAATAATATGAGTATAAACCGAAACCCAAACCAAGAACGTCGAAATAGGATACAAAATTTCGTCGTGATTAAAGATTTTTTTTTCGTCGTGATCGTAAAAGGTCTATAAAGAAATAAATAAGTAAACAAATATAGCAATCAAATTCCTGGGTATAGCTATACCTTGGCATTGCCTGCTATATGGCTAAATGTATGCTCATTTTGAATTTCATGCACTTTAGTTCATAACTAACAGACATGTCAAAAGGGTTTTCCTTATTCTTTGGCCTACAATGCCAATTCACGAACTCCGATCTACAAGTTTGATAATGAATCTACCTGCAAAATGTCATCGTAATCGGTCCACTCGTTTTCGAGATATCGTGCTTACGGACGGACGGACAGACACCAAAAAATTAAGAACTCACTAGGACTCGTTGTAGATTTTAAGCATCACTGTCCCTAAATGCTAACAAATATCGTGAAGCACAGATTTTTACTTACGCTTACCGATACCAAATCTTTGTCGTTTTCCCCTAAAAATTTCCAATAGGAAATCCTAAATCAAAATACGCTACTAAGTTACTAGGTTCTATTAAACGCTAATTTTACCAAATTCGTGGTCCGTGTTTAATATTTGTTAACGTTTCACGTGGCAAAATATCTGCAGGAAAGATTCCATGAAGAACTCCCCTCTTACCAAGTAAAAAATACACAAATTGCAAATTTCTAGAACAATCACCTAAAAATAAGACATTTTGAATGCTTAGTAAAATGCAGTAAAAGAGGAATTGACCAGAAGAATTGCAAAAATAACTGCATAACTAAAGATGCTATAGACAATCCGAAATTTCCAAACAAATTAGAATTACCAAAAACTTAAAAAAAAGTTACTATATTTGGGGGAAATAATGCCGATTTACAAAAGAGGCAATAAATGGAAAATTAGGTTAGAAAAAGAAATAGAAGAAAAGAGGATGTTGGAGGAAACAGATGGGAATCCGGAAAAGGGGTGGGGACGATTTGTGCTACACTTACACATATCAGTGTAAAAGGCATTGGAAGAAAAGAGCGGAAAGGTGATAGCGTTTTTGATGGTCTTAAAAGCAGCATTTTAACAGAGTGTAAAGGAAAAAAGTATGGGAAATGATGGAAGATGGGAAAATGCGATGTAAGAAATATGGAAAAAAATGTGGTCAATGTGGGGGGATCGCAGTGGGAAGGCAGATCTGCTCTGGTCCGCTAAAATTAGCTTTGCTAAAAAAAGGAACACTGCCACAAAGACAAGAATTTCAGATTCAGAGGCTAAAGATACGAATTTGCCCTCCAAATATAAGGGTAAAGATAACTTCTAAAATTATATTTGTAACAGTCGAAAAAAAACTTTCGAAAAGTGATGTTAAAAATGGGAATCACGTCTGCAAAAAGAGATTTTGCAAATTCAGAGGCTAAAAAGAGGAATCTATCTCCAAATATAACGGCAGAACTATAACTAATAAGAAAAATGAAGGTTTCATAACGATTTTGGGTAATAAATAACTATAAGGGCTATGTTAACTCGGAAATTAAAGTACTCGGTCCCGAAGGGGCCTCGTACTTCAAATTTCCTTGCCAGTAATGTGCCATTTTCCTGACCTTTACGTAAATAACTTACAGAATCCTGAATTCCTACGACGACGTACTAAAGGCATACGCATTTGATATTATGCTTTTGTGAGAGAGTGGAGTATGCGACACGGAGACTGCAAATATCAAATACATATCTAGTCTAGAAAACATTGAAATTATATATCTTTTTCTGAAAAAGTATTTGTTTAAGTTTACCCTTTGATCTTGTATAAAATTGAATTTCTACAAAAATCTTATCTTCCGTAGGTACGAGTAAAATCTGCATTTTTCGCATTCTCTCTACACCGGAGGCACTAATTCATTATTTCTGTCACAAATTACCGTACACTCTGTATATGCTATGTGCCTACTGTAATGGATTACAGTTCTAGTGCTTGTCTGCAGCAAACCCAAATTGCACTTTCAAAATGAACTGCATTACTTTTCGCCGCCACCCGATTTAGAGGAAAAGTTATGGACGCTAAACAAAACCGTAAATCAAGCAATAAAGTCGAACATAAAATAATTTATTAATTAAAGTTGGCGCAATAAATTTGGAAATTTAAAAAGAGTCGTAATTTAAACGAATATAAAATAACCCGTTTTCTAGGGTACAAATGACGAAATAAATCAAAAATAAAAATCCGAAAATGAAAATATGTTTGCTAGGATATATACTCACATGGAATTGCTAAAGTTGAGTCGTTAGGGTCCGGACTATATTTTTCTTTGGAGAAGTAATCGATGTTGTTGCATTCGTATACGGTTTCGCCAGCTGCAACAAAAAGAAGCGTTCCTTAGGCCGTCGCGCTTTACGAAATGAAATGGTTTATTCTAATTTTCGGATTATATTCATGGTTATGCAAATGTAAGAAAACCATTAGGTGGAAATGAACAGGAAACGGCTGAGATCTGCGCTGGGGGTGTATCAGGAAATGATGTTGTGTCCAACTCAAGCTGAATGTCTTATTTTCGTCATTAACGACGTGGTAATAATACGCGTTGCTCTCGCTGCAAATTTCATTAGCCTAGTTGAAAATCGATCGCATTCGCCAACCCTTGACCAAATGGCATATAAAATTTTATAGTTCAAACTCTAATTACAATTACAATGGAAGCGCGTGTTTAAATTATTTTAGGGTAGATACGGCCATCTCTCTTTCTGCTAAGCAACCACTCTACTTAATGCAGGGGTTGGTGAGATGTATTGCAGACGCTTTCATCGTACAAACTTGTAGAAATCTGGGCAATTACATCATTCTTTATACTTTAGGGTGCGAGCAGAATTTCCCATTGGCAGATTGTGTATAGAGGGCGCGGGCATGCATAAAAGACAAATTTTGAGTGCATTTTTGAAAAAAAAGCTCGTACATATCAATTTTAGACCTGAGTGGGCGAATTATAGATAAGATCAAATTCATCACCTATCGCTTGAGTCACCACTCGCAACATCTATAATGCAGTTTGAGTATAGGGGTTTAGACGGTCATAATGATACCTTAAAAGTATGTCTCCTTATTCTGAAGACAAACTCCAAAAAAATTGCCCTCCAATTTCAAGGATTGTAGCCCTTCCCAACGATATTTTGTGTCTATAGGTATTTATTAATTGCTAGCAGAGCAGTGTCCCCAGAGTACAAATAGTGCGACATAGTGCTTAAATGTAGTACTATATTGCGAAATTATAAGTATAATTATAAGGTAAATAAATTCTGGCCCTCATTCAAAATTTGTTATGGCATATTTTCATAACTACATAATGTACTTTTCAAATCAACATTTCAAAAGTGGTAGAACAAAAGTTATTAATGGTTAATTAAGAGCTAATAAAATGCTAATAAAGTGTATATATAAACATTGAATAAGTAATTATACTTATTCAATAGTATAAATTAAAAAATTTAATTAACTTTCAGTATTCTCATTTTGATTTCGCAAAAGAATTATAAAATTCCTACATAAACATGGGGTGAAAATAATTCTGATCTCGAGGAAATTTATTTTTGAACATTTTGAAAAATTAAAAACAAGTTTATCTGCAGTACTTGGCACAGAAATCGTTAAATTGCAAATATTCCAAAAACTACAACACATACCATAAGAAAAACACTAACGAAGTACCCGGTTTCCGCCCGAAGTTATGACCGCACCGTACATTTGTGAAGTCGTCCAGCATGGCTGAACACCCGGTATCGAGAAGCGTTAAGGCTTAGCGCTTCGTTATTGAAGAGTTCCGGTATTTAATTATTTGCTCGAGAGTGAGTTGTATGTGTTTACATTTTGTGTAATTGTTTATTTTACCGCCGCTAAGTACGTAAGTTTTGTAATGAATTTATCAGCTTTTTCCAACCCTTCCGATAGAAATTATTCTTACAGTCGCCGAACGCAATCTTGTCAGGGAAGAAAGGAGACAATTAATATTTTGATATTTCAGCGCCATTAATTATTAAGGATTTTAAGTGTTGACACGTTATCAGTCTTGCAGATAAGCCGGGGTGTAGATAGCGACAACAGTTGTTGCGCCGGAAAATTCTAATTAACAATAGCTTTTAATTGGATTGATCGCGCCTATTGGATAAGCACGGTTAATGAATGGCGTTTCAATGAGTTGTAGAAAAAATCGGCAGACGGCCGGCGCCCAGAGTTATATCAAAATGATCGCCCTTAAGACACGAGCAGTGGCGTAAATATAATGTCTCAAAGGTACGCAATGAAGACGGGCCCCGACTTAAAAGGGCTCCCGACAAAAATGTACGAAAAATTCAATTCGCTTATACAAAATTCTGAAAAAAAAACTGAAAATTTCCCGAACTCCGTCAATGGTATGCTTCTATTAATTATTTACATTTTTTCGTTACTAAGGAAGAGATAAAACGTAATGCAATGCTCTTTACAATACAAAATTCTGAATCATTGTTGACGGAGAGTAAATATAGGTGAAAAATACACAATACACAAAAATTAACAATCCGAGGAAGTAACTCTTGAATTTGAATAATTTAAATCGGACTTTAATCTAATACAAAATTTGATATGCTCAAAAATAGCCAATTCAAATAGATTTAAAAGCAACTCCACTCCTTTCCCATTTGTGAAAAATAATATTCCGAAGTTTCTTACTTAAAGGAAATGAAATACTTTGTTAATTAGAGGGACCTTCTCTAATCCAAAAGGTATCTGAAGGCCTTGGATACGGTAATCTTAGACTGAAGTTGTATTTCGAAATGAATGCCGCAGTCCAGCATTAACCTCTGCACGGACGAAACAGTTAAAGACTTTAAAAAAGGTAGATTCATGCACAAAGAATTGAAGTCGCTAATTAAACTAAACGAGTTTAAACGTCGAAGAAACTGGCCAATATAGAAATCAAAATAAGAATAACATTTAAAGTGAAACAATTAAATAACAAACAAATTCAAGGGTTACCTTACCCCTAGCCTAGTTACAAATAGCCAAAGTCAATACAAATCACAATAAAACCAAGAGTTACAAGTTTGACAATTAAAGTTCGAACAAAATCAACTGACTGAACACAGAAAGCAGTGACGCTAAATTTTACAATGGACCTGTCAACCAATGAATTACAAAATGCAAAATCAGCAAAGCTAAATCAAGACACTATTTTTTATATATACAGATTAACATCGTTTAAAAACTGGTAATATAAGGAAAGGGCCCCCAAATATTTTTGAAGGGAGGCCTAAACCCAATTCTCCTAAATATGGTATATGTTGGCTGTTTATTTTCAAAGATATTCCATACTAAATATACAAATTTGTTGTGGTTTGTGCTGTATTATCAAATGACACTGGATTTCTGCTCTTGACCATATATATTTAACACATCCGCAACCATAGAGGGTGTAGAATACCTTAGAAACTAAAGAATCAAATTTCACAAAAGGTTTATAGAACATTGCGTCGAGGAAAGAAAATCCTAACAACATTTGTGAGGCATTTTGGCAACACAGAATTTACTCAAAATAGTAGCCAAAATTTTGCCTGCCAAGAAAGTGGATTTTTGCAGTTTTTCGACATTACTTCGCCAAAAAACAACAACGATTAACGTCCCCACCAAACAAGCCTCGAATAACGTCTCGTTCCATTCTTTAAAACCATTTCCCTTTTTTTAACTTTCTAAACCATTTCCTCCTTCTTATCAAAATAATGCGTCATATTACAATACTTTGCATTTGTGTTAAAAACTTCCTTGATAACATGTCTTTATCTTGGAATCGCAACGACCGGAGATAACACTTACAAATATTTCCAGATGTTCTCTATCTTTTAACACGTAACAAAACTGACCAAAAATCAAAATAAAACAAGAGAGGGATAAAATTAAAAAATTAAATTAAATTTAAAAAAAATCATTAAATATAATTTTGATACAAAACCTTGACCTCGAATTCAACCAATAGAGGTGCTATCTCAAATTAGGCAATAAATAATTGAAATTCACATGACCCATCGTTATTTTAAGTGCTGAGTTTTCGAGTGGTTACCCATTCAAATACGAGTATTAATTGCGAGCAACGTTGCAGGATTGTAGAATTATTACTAATGAACACAAATAGAAGTCAAAATATCACGTGAAGTCGCGACAACGTGGGGGCCGACCCGAGGATTTACCAAAAAATTAGTGATTATCGCGACATAATTAGAATTATTAATAATTTAATAAACGGCCAATTTAATCTTTGTCCAAAGATACGGAATTTGGAATAGAACGATAATAAGTAGCTGTTTATATGCCATAGTTTTAATGTACGAATTTTTGCCTAGACAAGATATCCGTTTCAGGGGACGTTTTATTGGAGTTTAACTGTACGTGCATAAACGAGACAAATTCGTGTGTCGCGGTCATTTCTTTTGGGAATCGCGATAAACTTTGCGACTACCAGTTTCATAATCTGTTTCTTGAATATTCTTATTCCACATTTTTTACCTTTACGTCAGTGACGTGTACAAACCTTTCCTAACTAGATAATGTTTTTTCGAAAAAATAAAATTGGTTGATATGGGGAATAGGGGATGTTATTTCGTTGACTTACGCATATTTACTTCGAAGTTGCGAAGGGGAGGATTAAATCGTTTAAATTAGAAATGAAGAATTTTTCGTATTCCTCAACGGGCTATCTTCATAAATTAAACGAAATGAAAGGTGACAGTGTGACTAAAATGTTAAAAGCGCTACAGCATAATGAGCTAAAGTCGGTCTTTCACCTTACCGTCAAATATATTTGCCAGTTAATTGCTGTATAAACAAGTGAGAGAGATTATGGCATAGTGGTAGTGTATCATAATCATCTTCGACAACAAATTTATCTCAAGCCAAAAGCCAACCAAACAATGAAGTGTAAACGTGAATTAGCGTTCAGCTGGAACGTTTCGATATTCGTAGCAGTTTCGAAGTGACTGTTCGATTTTCTTCCACAAACTCTAACGTTGATGTGTAGTGGATTTAATGAGAGGACATTTCAGTTCTAATACCCAACCAGGGGAAAAACGAATTTAATTTATCCTTACCCTCCTTCACACTCAGTTTCACTACGGATACTTCAATTGATCGCGATTTTCGAGGTTATTACGATTTTCACCTTTCCACTCTAATAAAAATTCCGGTCGAGCCCCACGTTCCGCAAGTCCCAAAAATCATGCATATTAATGCAATTATTCGAATTAGAAAGCTTTTTTTGGGGGGCGGAAAGCTCGCCGAAAGCGCGAGGTTACGGGAGTATAATGAATTAGAATTAAGTCAATTAAAAAGAGTGTAA